CAGCCTCGCTACCTCGCCGAAATCATTGTGAGCGCCTTCGTTTTTTTATTTATTTAGCAAATGCTCTAATTCATAGGTTCATGATATGCCTTCAAGTTAGCCGGGGGGGTATTGCTCATAAATTTTGCGTCTCAAAGTACAGATTCAAGAAAATTACAGATTACCGAAAACAAAGAGACTCGATGTTAAATTTCTGTATAATAATTGTTTGAACGAAACTTCGTGCGTGTGCACAGTTTTTGCTGCATTTTCAATTGGAAAATGATAAGGGGCACACCCAACCACATCCCAAACCATACCCCCTCTCTCATATGCTACATCGCACCGGGTCCAACATAGGATTTTAAAATTTTAAAATCTCATGTGAGGCACGGTACGTTGTAGCATATGAGAGATGGGGTGTGGTTTGGGATGTGGTTGTGGGTGTGCCACTAGTGCCACCCTTTTCAATTGGATTCTGACCGCCCTAAAAAAAAGGGTAAATTAAGAGACCAAGACTTTATCATAATCGTTGATTGTTTTAGCGGGCGATTATTGTTTGTTTAGAGGACCCAAATTCATTTGCAGTTGCAGCACGCTCAACTAAATTAACGAACTTTTGAGATTGTGGGAAAACACTGAACAGGGATTTCATGTCGAAGATACTAACACCCTCCAATTTCCAGGGAGGTATACTGTTAGGTCCATCAGTAATGGGCCAGATCCCAAACTTCGGCCGCCTAATCTTCCCCTTCCGCAGCGTCCTCATCCTCGAAACCATGGCCAACCTCGGCCTCATCTACTTCATGTTCACCGTCGGCATCGAGATCGACCCCTCCACCGTCCGCCGCCGCTCCCGCAAGTCGCTCTCCTTCGCCTTCGCCTGCATCGGCATCCCCTTCACCCTCGGCCACCTCGCCGTCTTCATCGCCCCTCCCAAGCTCGGCATGGCCGTCTCCAACTGGGCCTTCTTGATCTTCCTCTGCGTCACTCTCTCCATCACCGCGTTCTCTGTTCTCGCTCGAAGCCTCGCTGAGCTCAAGCTTCTCAATACCCCGCTCGGCGCTACTGCCCTCAACGCCGCGGTGCTCGTCGACAGCTTCGCCTGGATTCTGTTGTCGCTGGCGATTACGCTCGCGCATAATGAGGGGAAAGCAAGCCGGACTCTCTGTACTTTTCTGTCTGGGTTCGCTTTCTATTTGACGATGACGGCCGTCGTTAAGCCGGCAATGCAATGGGTGATCAATAGAACGCCGGAAGGCGAAGAGGTTGACGACGTTTACGCGTGTGCCATACTGGTGAGCCATCCTTCTCCGAATTTCTTGCGAACCGAATATAAATACTCTTCGAATATTATAAGATGTGGGAACTCCAAATGAATATCTGATAATCAAAATCTAAAAATACATATGGTTAAATTCTGCTGACACCCAGAGCTACTTGTTCACGGTTAATTAAATGCATGAACTAGGCAAGTGTGCTCGTGGCGGCGTTCGTGGCGGACGCGATAGGGATTCACGCGGTGACGGGGGCGTTCATGTTCGGGATGGTGGTGCCGAACGGGGGTTTAGGGGAGGCGTTGATAGAGATGATACAGGATTTCGTGGAGGGGCTTTTGGTGCCGTTGTTTTTCGTCACGAGCGCCGGTTTGCAAGATGGATTTCGGGGGGGTGGGAGAGCCACGGCGGGCGCGGCCGTTTGTGGTCGGGGATGGTGGTGACGGGTGACGGTGGCCAAGGTTGCGCGGAGTGCGTCTAGTAGGTGGCGAGGTTGTACGGCATGACGATGAGGGATGGGGTTGCCATGGGGCTGTGATGAACGCCAAAGGGTGTGTTAGCAGATGGTGTTGCTTAATATCGGGAGAGATGGGAAGGTAACGTCTGATTTTTTTTCTCCCCGTGATTTCTTTTGCGCAACTATGATTAATCACATGCTTATTAATAAATATTATTATTAATGAAGTCGATGAGTTCGTTTAGTGGCAACAACATCAGAAAATCGATGACGTGTTAGAGTTACTCGGACGTTGATTCAACCTTAAAAGTTATCTGCAATCATAATGCTAATGCATTTAGTTGCCTTAATTAATCACAATTTAATTAAACCTCCTCCGATGTCCCTGACGCGTGCAGCTCCTGAGCGAAGAGGCCATTCTCCACGCTGGTCACCCTCTCCATCGTCATCACAGCCGTCACCACCCCTCTCCTACCCGCACGTCGCCCGCCCCGGCCGCCGCCTCGCCTTCTACAAGCCGCCGCACCGTCCTCTGTTGCCCAAGCCGACGACGACCTCCGCGTTTGGTCCCCTGCCGGTACTCCCCCCCAGCACGCTCCCCTCCAACATCGCCCTTCCTCGACTCCACTTAACACCCACAAGCCGCCTCCCTATCTCCGTCATCTCCCTCCACCTCGTCAGAGCCCTCACTCCCGCCGCCTCCGCCACACACCATCCTCAAACTCCGCGCAGCTCAAGGACTTAAGCTCCCTCACCTTCCTCCTCCCTCCGCTCGGCCCTCCGCCCTCCCCCACCCTCCTACCTTCCCACCCACCACGCCGCCCTCAAAATCCTCCGCGACCACGTCATCCACACCTACGAGACCTACGGCACAGCACACCGCGCGGCGTACTCCGTCCCTGCCCCTCAACCGCGTCCTCCCCCTTCACCTCCATTGCAACCGCCGACATCTGCGCCGCCCGCCGAAGAAGAACTCACGCCGCCCTCATCATCCTCCCCTTCCCAACACAGCCAAACCATGTCGACGGTAGGCGATGCGAGTCACGAACCCCGCCCATCCAGACAATGAACCAGGCCGTCCTCAACTCCGCCCCTGCCCTCCGTCGCCGTCCTCGTCGACGCCGCGCTCCGAACCGCCTTCCAGCATTCCCCTGCAGCCGTGCACCAGGCTAACCCTCCTCTTCCTCGCGGCCCGGCACGACCGCCGAGGCGGTTTAGCCAGTCGCTGTCCCGGATGGTTCGAGCACCCCGGCATCAGGCCTCACCCTCGTCCCCGCCTCGTCCCCCCGACAGCCTCCCGAACAGCTCAGCGGGTCGTGAACATTGGTCCCTGCGGCGACGCAGCCGAGGGACCGGTGAGAAGCAGGCGGGGACGACGACTGCCCATCGGGTGAGTTCAGGCCTCCTGTACGCGGGCTACAAGAACGGCTGGCGCTATGCGAGAGGGCGGCTGAGCAACGCGGAGGAGACGATAGGCCGCGTGGTATACGCGGGGACTGCTGGAGGAAGGGGGAAAGGACTGTACGTGGTGGCGAGCGTGGGGCGAGGCGGAGTTCGCCGCTGAACCGCTCGGGGATGACGGCGAGTGGAGGCGTGTGCCTGAACGCTCGGGGGTGATCGGACCTGATGGCGTACGACGGCATTTTCGGGGCCGAACGGTTGTCGGTGCTGGTTGGTGCAGCAGTGCAGGGAGGGCGAAGTCCGGCGGGGGTGAAGCGCGTGGCGGAGACCGCGCTGCAGCTAACCTGCAGCCACGAAGAGGCCATTCTCCACGCTCGGTCACCCTCTCCATCGTCATCCAGCCGTCACCACCCCTTCTCCTACCCGCTACGTCGCCCGCCCCGGCCGCCGCTCTCGCCTCTCTACAAGCGCCGCACCGTCCTCTGGCCCAAGCCCGACGACGACCTCCGCGTTGGTCCCTGCGCGTACTCCCCGCCCGACACGTCCCCTCCAACATCGCCCTTCCTCGACTCCTACAAATATCAACACCCACCAAGCGCTCCCTATTCTCCGTCATCTCCCTCCACCTCGTCAGAGCCTCACCTCCCGCGGCCTCCGCCCAACCATCCTCAAACTCGCCGCAGCTCAAGGACTTAAGCTCCCTCACCTTCCTCCTCCATCCGTCGGCCCTCCGCCTCCCCCGCACCCTCCCTAGCCTCCTCCCACCCCCACGCCCGCCCTTCAAAATCCTCCGCGACCACCGTCAATCCACACCTACGAGACCTACAGCACAGCACACCGCGCGCGTACTCCGTCTGCCCCCTCACCGCCGTCTCCCCCTTCACCTCATTGCAACCGCCGACATCCTGCGCCGGCCCGCCGCAAGAAGAACCACGCCGCCCTCATCATCCTCCCCTTCCACAAACAGCAAAACCAGTCGACGGTGGCGATGGAGTCACGAACCCCGCCATCCAGACAATGAACCAGGCCGTCCTCAACTCCGCCCCTGCCTCCGTCGCCGTCCTCGTCGACCCCGCGCTCCGAACCGCCTTCCAGCATTCCCCTGCAGCGCAGATGCACCAGGCTAACCCTCCTCTTCCTCGCGGCCCGGCACGACCGCAGAGCGGTAGCCAGGTCGCTGTTCCCGGATGGTCTCGAGCACCCGGCCATCAGGCCTCACCCTCGTCCGCCCTCGTCCCCGCCGACAGCTCCCGAAAGCTCAGCGGCGTCGTGCAACATGGTCCTGCACGGCGACGCACGCACGAGGGACCAGGTGAGAAGCAGGCGGGACGACGACTGCCCATCGGGTGAGTTCAGGCCTCCTGTACGCGGGCTACAAGAACGGCTGGCGCTATGCGAGAGGGCGGCTGAGCAACGCGGAGGAGACGATAGGCCGCGTGGTATACGCGGGGACTGCTGGAGGAAGGGGGAAAGGACTGTACGTGGTGGCGAGCGTGGGGCGAGGCGGAGTTCGCCGCTGAACCGCTCGGGGATGACGGCGAGTGGAGGCGTGTGCCTGAACGCTCGGGGGTGATCGGACCTGATGGCGTACGACGGCATTTTCGGGGCCGAACGGTTGTCGGTGCTGGTTGGTGCAGCAGTGCAGGGAGGGCGAAGTCCGGCGGGGGTGAAGCGCGTGGCGGAGACGGGGGTGGAGGTTAGGGAGAGGCATGATATGCGTACGAGGGTTGAGAAGTGAGGAGAGTGCAGGTGGATGACTTTTTTTTTATTTTTATTTTTTGTAATTTGGTTGTTTAGATGCATAATTCGTTTGTATATAGAAACGGAGAATTCAACTTCAATGCGGTTCGTTGTGCCTCGTGCGTGTTCTCCGATTACTAATTCAATAAGACAAACGTACTTCTTTTCCTTGGGTCTTTTTGGAGTCTTTTAGTGCATCTTTAAGTAAATTATCAATAAGACAATGTAATTTAGTCCATCTCTAAATAGAAAAAAGAGACAAAAGAATAAATGGATTTAATAAAAAGTCTTTTAACATTGAAGTTTTGATGCAATGAAATAGTCTTCTGACATTGTATCAAGTAAACCATACAAATCCCAACTGACCACACATTTAAAATGGATTAAAAAAAAAAAAGCGATAGTACTTCTGCGTGATTCAAGTTTTGCCACCGGAAAGGATGTAAGCTGAAATATAACCCTCAATCCTCTTTATGATTCTAGAGGTTTAGTGTAGCATAACATGTATTGAAGCTAATCTATATTTAAAATCCCAACAAGGGCTAGAAATTTTTGTGATTGGGCTAAAATTAACTGTCACAAGATAAGGGTAACAATTGAGCAAATAATACTCATCAGTTTGCTTATAACGATACTAATCCGAATTGGACTCATTTTATAAGAATTTCAAGTTTATAAATACTTGCAAAAAAAATTATCAACAATATAGCCCCATACTTGCAAATCTAAACTTTATCCTTAGTCATCATCAATTTTGCCCTCTCCTTCATTTGCACTAGGCACTAGTAAAAACGCCACATCCTAGTCAGTCTAGAATAGTCAGATTTCCGTCTAAGTTGACCATTCTAGATGGAGTTCCGTCTAGGATATTGGTCTAATAAGTTTCTATTTAGGATGACGCATTCTGAACGGAATTACGTCTAGAAAAACTATCCTAGATGGAATAACAACCTAGACGGATAAAATAATTGTCTAGGATACTTCTAGATGGAAATAAATTCCGTTCGGGATGTATCCTAGACGGAAAATTCCGTCTAGAAAGGCGAGAACCACATTTTTAATTATATATATAATAGAAAAATTTCATCTAGGACATTTTCTGATCTTCTCTCGTTTTGTTTTTTTCACATGGGTCCCACCTTCCTAGACGGAATATTCCGTCTAGGAAATTTCCTAGAGAAATCTCTCTAGGATAGTGGGACTCACGTGACAAAAATTTTGTCAGATGGGTCTCATTATCCTAGACGAAAAATTCTGTTTAGGATATATCCTAGACGTAAGTTCCATCTAGAAATGTGGGACCCTCATTTAAAAAAATATAATTGAAAATTTTCTGGTTAGAAAAACGTATTTAGACGGTTTTCCGTCTAGAATGTTACATCCTAAACAGCATATCGTAGATGGAAATTTTCTATCGAAATTGTTGTCGTTCTAGACGGAATATATTCCATTAGGATACTCCATCTAGAATGCTTCGTTTTTCTACTAGTAAGGGTTCTAATTAATTTCCTCATAATATTGTAGTCTCTAAGAAATTTTTTAAAATCTTGGGAAACACGAAAATAAACGCACAAATTCTTGAAGAAATCGAGTGTTGTACTTGTTTTTGATGCTATGAGGCTTCCGACTCTTTCTAACTCATTTCGAACGATGACTTTGAGTGTATACACCTATACACTGCTAGAAACTTCAGCGGCTCGGCAAGTGAAAACGGTCTCCGATATTCTTCATCTCTTTGTATTTGTGCGCATCTATTTGGGAAGGCATCATCCCTTATTTAGAGCCTTAGAGCTTCAACGAAGCTCTGATCCCCAAATATTTGTTGCCTAATTCTTGGCAAAACCT